TGAACTTAATAGACATGTCATTACTTCTGACTTTGCGCTGTAAATCATTTTTTGCCACATCGACTTCCATCACTGCTCTTTGAATTCCGGCGGTCAGCCGTGACAAAAAGCACTGATGGCTTCTGGGACGGCCTGGTCATGTAGTTATTTTTTAATTAGGTTACATTGTAGGCATATTAAAAGGAAACTACAAAATGGCGCTTTTTTTTTTTTTTCCGTCTTTGCTATTGGTTGATTCCCGCTCCCGTCTGCTCCCGTTAACCATTTATCCTGATTTATCCCGTCCAAATCCCGTGATTAATAGCAAAGATGACTCCCATCCCGCAGGAATCCCACGGGAATCCCACGGGAATCCCGTGGGATTCCCGTGGGATTCCTGAAAAAATGTCAGCCTCTGATCCCCACCGTCCGGATCTCAGGATGACTGACCGACTCTGTTCCCCGCAGGTGGAGAGGCTGGAGGCCAAAGTAATCGAGCCGTTAAAGAGCTACGGGGCTGTGGTGAAGCGCAAACGGGTAGGTTTCCCCGTGATGCTGCACAGGTGGGGTGGTGGGGGGTTTATCTCTAGATGAGCACAAGAGGTCAGCATTGCTCAACGAATGTCTTGATCCAAACTACTTCCTCGGTCAGTGTTGAAATTTTTTTTCCAGGAAAACAAATTCTACTGTTCCTTTGTTGTCCATCCATCCATTATCATTACCCCTTATTCCCTAATGGGGTTGGGGGGGGGGCGGAGCCTATCCCAGTAGCCAATGGGGAGAGGCGGGGTCACCCTGGAAGGTCCCCAGTCCATCACAGGGTCACACAGAGACACACAAGGACCAACAACCACACACACTCACACTAAGGGCAGTTTGGAGTCCAGCCAACCTAACATGCAGGTTTTTGGACTGTGGGAGGAAGCCGGAGAACCCGGAGAGAACCCACAGACACAGGAGAACATGCAGACTCCACCCAGAAAGGTCCTGGTTCCCCCGGGACTCCAACCCAGAACCCTCTGGTCCTGGTTCCCCCGGGGACTCCAACCCAGAACCCTCTGGTCCTGGTTCCCCCGGGAATCCAACCCAGAACCCTCTGGTCCTGGTTCCCCCGGTGACTCCAACCCAGAACCCTCTGGTCCTGGTTCCCCCGGGAATCCAACCCAGAACCCTCTGGTCCTGGTTCCCCCGGGGACTCCAACCCAGAACCCTCTGGTCCTGGTTCCCCCGGGACTCCAACCCAGAACCCTCTGGTCCTGGTTCCCCCGGGGACTCCAACCCAGAACCCTCTGGCAGAAAGGTCCTGGTTCAGCCGCCCCCTTCCTTTGTCGTTTTGGAGTATTTTCCCATTTTCTCCAGCACTATGCAAACTTTCTAACGTGGCTCTTTGCCCTATTTGGAGTCAAACGTGTGGTCTCTGTGATTGGACAGTGTGTGAATAGAGTATTGATATATTCTGCAGGTTGATTTCACACTGGAATGGGTTTGGTTTGTCAGGAAGTGAGAGCTTATCGCACTGATCCCATCCCACTGCTGCCTCTGAGCCCTGTGCCCTGTGTGTGTGTGTGTCTTTGTGTGTGTGTGTGTGTGTGTGTGTGTGTGTGTGTCCCTGCAGGAGGATCTGAGGACCACTCAGATTGCCAGAGACAAAGAAGCCAAACAGATGGCCCAGCTTGAGAAGACCAGACTGAGAAACCCCTCGGACAGACAGATCATTGTATCCTTCCGTTGTTTGGCTTTGCTTTTTAGATGCTAATAGCTGATGGGCCAAAGGAGAGCTTTGTGAAACAACATGAACAACCATTTGATTAGTATCAGTATAGTTCGCTAACCACTCGTTCTTTGTTCAGAATTCATTAGCAAACGTAGAATAAAAGCTGAACAAAAAAGAAAAACAGAAACTTTTTGTGTTTTCTTGACCAGACTCTCAGTCTCAGGTGTGTTTCCTGTAATATTCCCAACTCCCTGCCGGTGACGTAACATATTTTGGAATTACTTTTCACAATTTGCATCAGCGTTTGAATTTGGTTTAGCCTCTCTCTATTCTCTCTTTGCTTTCACGCTGTGACACATTTAGTGGCGTGTGCCACGTTTTTTTCTCTCGCCCACCAGGCTGAAAGCGAGCTCCAGAGAGCCACCATGGACGCCACGCGCACCACCAAGCAGCTGGAGGAGACCATCGACGAGTTCGAGCGGCAAAAAATCCAGGACATCAAGGTCTGCTGTCCACCTCCGGCTGCACTTTCAGTCGTTCCAACGTCTCTTTGCATAACAGCGAAATGAAACCAGACACAGAGGCTTTGGCTGTTTCCTCTGAAATCAGCCCACACGCTCTAGTCCTGTCTCTGCTGTTTAGAGCTGTTATTGTTTTCACAATTTCACTACTCCTTTTTTTTTTTTTTTTTTTTTGTTGTAGTAAACGGGCAGTTCTGGATTATTCCAAATCCGAATGCGTCTGTTCAGTTTTGACGTGTTCTGCTTGTCTCCTGTAGAAAATTTTAGGCGAGTTTGTGACGGTGGAGATGTCGTTTCACGCCAAGGCTTTGGAGGTCTACACTTTGGCCTTCCAAAGCATTCAGAGTGTGGATGAGGAGGCAGACTTGGAGGTATGCTGATGGCCTTTTAACGGATTCACACACAAAAAAGACCCAAAAAACAAACCCAATTCAATGCACACTCTCTGCTTTTCACTTGACAAACCGACAGATTTTGTTTTAATGGGCCCACAGGATCATTGCCATTTACAATCGGCACTCTATGACTCATGACTCATATCGTTTATAGTCCACACCCTTTAGCTCAACTTTGAGATCACAGCAGTGAAAGCTACTTTCTCCCGTTAACCATCTGGTGAGAGGTTTGCTGCACTATTTTTAAGAGAGAAAGCATGTCGTGAGAGGGAAAAAAAACTCAGATATCCTGCAACTAGGTCTATGTAGCAGATGCCCTTGTGCTATTTTATCCTTCTGTGCAACATTTCATCTGTTAGTTTTTTTAGTTTTTTTTTTTTTCCCAGCTCTGAATCATCCCCCTTCCATTCATACTGAAGTGAAACCCTGCTCTGAGACAGGGCTGTTTTTCTGAGTCATAGTAGAAAGCGTGGCAGATTGAATCATCTCAGGCGCAGTGACAGGCATGTGGATGATCCTGATCCTGATCCTGATCCTGATCCGTTCTCTGGACGGTTGAAACCACCGGTAAGGGCGAGTGGCTCATGTTTATATCAGACACAAACGCCCTCCGAGTCCACCCTGTGCCTTTCCCTGAATATTAGGGTTAACCGTCCTGTTAAATGTCCAAAATCTGTGCACAGTGTTTTTATTTTTTACGTGGGTAAGCTCCATGAAACTTGGCCTGTCCAGGTTCCTGCTGACTTTTCTTGCATTATATTAATATTTAAAGCCCTACAGGGCTTGCAATCTATTTGGTTTTGTGGAAAAGTATAGTGCCCCCTACTGTCTCTGGCAGGTGTTCAGGAGTTCGCTGCACCCCCCCGACTACCAGTCACGCTTAGACATAGTCCGAGCAAATTCCAAAACCTCCCTTGATCGGACCGGGTCCTTCCTGAGTACATCAGGGACCTTACAGGTAAGAAACAGACAGTGGAGAACCACCAAAACTTCCCTTCCAAAAAGATCCGTCTTTTTTTTTCAGGTTGCCTTTAACCTCTGCTTTCTAAATTTGTCTGTTGCTTAAGTTTTATTGTGATGATAAGATAGAAAACCCCCCCTCCTTCTCTCATTGAAACTAGAAAGTTTCCTCATTCCTCAGCGTAAGCCGTGACGCTATCTGTTATCAGTCGTCACGGCGATAGTGCCCGGCATCTCCCCGTCCATCACCCGGTTTAAATGTCCCCCACGGGTCACTGCATGCCGGCCGAATCTGGCATTTCCTCTTACGCTGACTCATCGTTTCTGGCTTCACGATCAGGTTTTTCTTAGTCTAAAGGGGAAACCGTGAGGCCACCGCCATCAAAAAGCCAGCTCAGGTAGACGGAGACAAAAAAAAACAACAAAAAAAAGTGAGTGGCAGGTCTTAACCGAGAAGTGAAATCTGTCAGTGAAGAGCGTGAGGAAGAGTGTGAGGAATGCGGTGCCACAGCTGTCCAGACAAACGTGTTTCTCATTCCTCAGAAGAAAAAAAAACACCAGAGTGCCTCAGCTGCATGGTGACTGTTAATCTGTCGTCACAGCAACAAAGAGCCGGCAGTCGCCAGACGAGAAGGGAGGAGGAGGAGGACGAAGAGGAGGAGGATGAAGATGAAACTGATGAGGAGGAGGAGGGGGATGAAGAAGACACCGGCGACGAACGTTAAGGCCGTTTTTTGTTGCCGGTAACAACACAGAAAGCCGTCATTGCCAACCACTCACACACGTGGGGCCAGTATTGTAGTGTTGTTTACGTTGTTTGAGTTTGTATTCCAGCCAATCGTTGTTTTACTATGTTTTCACATCAGACCCAGTCTGAAAATCTAAAATATCATTTGTTTTTTTTATCAATAAAAATCTACTTCTGTATGCTTTGCAGTGTTCCAGGGAAACTTTCTTCCATGAGTAACAGTGTCCCCTCAGACGTTTTGCATAAAACAGAGAGCGCTTGTTGTTTTAAAGTAGTCGGGTTAGAACAGGGGTGTCAAACTCTGGCCCGAGGGCCAGATTTGTCCCGCGTTGTTCTTCTATGTGGCCCGCGAGACAATACCAAATGATTTCATTTAATTTTTCATCTAATTTTATTTTGAAACATGGTATGATTTAACAATGTTTACATAGAATGCTTCATAAACATGCATCATGTTTCAAAAAGGAGTAGGATGAAGCATAAGCTTTATACTGTACAGTACATTAACCGCTCATACTACAACTCCCACAATGCCCTGCTGCTGTTCAGAACAGGACCCAAAAACTCCTCTGTGACAGTCGGTACACACTACAGCTGTCACTGTGATACTTCCCAAAAATGACCAAAAGTGACCAGGCAGAAAACTGGAGCTTTCTGGACAAGCAAATTTAATATTGGCAAATTTAATTCAGAAGGCTGCGAATATAAAAAATTTTTTACATTTTATTTCATAAACGAATGCCATTGATGTGTTTTCTTATTTGAAATTGGATTTTGCATGTCTCCACTATTAAGTTATATATAACGTAATAAGAGTTGCTTGTTCCATATTCAGTGTTAAAGCAAATTTTGTTTTATTCCACATTAAAAGGTTTGTTTATTCAATCTTGGCGGAACAGAGAAATCGCAAATCTCAGGTTTGAGATTTTGGCCGGCTGTGTTTTGGAGTTTGACACCCCTGTTTTAGAGCGTGAATCAGTCCGAGCGGCGCTCGCTAAGTGCCAACCGCAGTTGAACGTGACTCATCTTTGCGATAGTACAGATGAAACCGGGAACAGTTTTTCTCACCGCGGCCCTGGACGGAGGCGGTCACGTGCGCTGGTGTTACGCTCTGTGTGTCGTCTGTCTGTCTGCCGACGGCTCCTGTCTGTTCAGGATGACTCACTCAGAACACATTCTTCATTCCTGAGCCGCTCGTGTCACAGAGAATTTCATACTCTGCATCGGCTCTTGTGCAGAAATACACAACAAATGTGAAAACGGTGTCACATTTACACGTTTTTATGCATTAAGTGACAAATACGGGGGCTTCCCAAACCTGTCTCACAGCAATATTTGATCAGAGATGTTCAGTAACGAAGTAGAGCTACTTAAGTACTGTACTTAAGTACCAAAATACAGTATCTGTACTTTATTGGAGTAGATATTTTTTCCCCTACTCCACTACATTTTTGACTGCCTTTTTTAATATACACAGTACTTGTACTTTTACTTATACTTGTACTTTCGATACTTGAGTAGCAATTTTTGAAATACTTCTACTTGCAATACTTAAGTACCAAAAAAATTGAGTACTTCCATACTTCCACTTAAGTATGGAGTTGAAGGAATACTTCTACTTTTACTCAAGTAAATTGTTTTACATAGTACTTGTACTTCTACTCCACTCCTCTATTCCAGTACTTTAAACATCTCTGTATTTGATATTTAGGTGATAAAAGCCGCGTAGGTGGTGTATCGTTAAATCACCGTAACGTCATCTTAATGCCAAAAGAGCTTTGTGTTTATGCAAACACGGTTTAACTTTGGTGCCCTGAAAGGCCCGTGTTGATGTGAGTCATCACCTGTGTGCGTGTGTTTGTGTGAGGGGTGACTCATGGAGTTTTTTCCAATCAGATAAACCTTCCGGCTCCACTCCCCGATTGCAGCAGAAGAACGACAAAAGAGCGACAAAAAAAAATGGAACAAAAAGCCAAAAAAGATTAGGGGGTAGTGAATGCATGACCGGTCTGCTATTAGTTAAGAGTTAAGAGTTAACCGTGACTCATTTACTGGGAACGGTGTCTGAAAACAAACTAAGCACAGTTTGTTTTCAGACAAACTGTGTCAAAAAGAGGAGTGTTTCTCCTCGAGCCTCGAGTTCAACAGGAGTCCCAAAAGATCCCAAAAGTGATTTTTTTTGTTTTCAAAGTTCCCAGGGCGCTCTCCTTTAAAAGGACACGTCCCCTATCTTTTCGACCACCAGAGGGCGCTGTTTCAAAGTGTTTCTCCTCTGCCCGCTCAGCTTCTGAATGTGAAATATGGAGACATTTTGTTCTTTTCGGCCCGTGGGTATCTGCAGCCTGCAGTGTGTTTTCTCCTCAGGCAAACTCTGCTTTTGAAAGCTGTTGAATTTATCTCCCAACTGAAATCCCATATCACAGAAATGTGGCATCCATTTTTTATCCCTCAGAGCACCCACTTCATGACTTATTGGTTTTGGTCTCCAACCTTCATAAGTGCTTTTTTTATTATTTTGCAACAACAACAAAGAGGTTCGAGTTATTTTTTCCCTGCAAACTGCCATCCACCGAATCAAAGCAAGATGTCCGCCAGCTTTTTTCTGTGAGGCAGGTGGAGACGCAGAGGCCGATTCACACGTTTAATACGGTCCCATCCACATTTTTTTTTTCTCTCTTATCCTGTCCCGAAGCTTAGCGCGTGCGTTCTTGTGTGTTATCACATAAGGGACTGATTCATAGGTCAACTGGAACAGAGTCAGTGTCTGTGGTGTGGGGGCCTGTTATTGCCTCGCCTATAGATCTGGCACATGAAAAGAGAAGGATTCCCTCCTCTCCCTCTGACTCATCTGCAGTCAACCCCAGCAACGGGTTGTGCACGGCAGAGAAAGGTGTGGAAGAGCCAGTGCATTATTTGCGTTATTTGTGTTATTTACTCCTCATTCATCCAATTCTGGAAATATTCGATCGGAGGAAAACGTTGTGTGTCTGTCTGTGTGTGTGTAGGGTACAAAACGCGTGTGAATATTTGCGAATGCGTGCAAAAGCCTACAGTTGTTTTGGAATATTAAATACATCGCTGTGCTGGCGGCTGTTATAAAATCCAGAGGCAGCATAGCCGGAGTGTGACTCACACACTGACTCACTGACAGCTCTGCTATGGCGTGTGTATGTTTCTCTGCGTGTGTGTCTGTGTGTGCGTGAGTGTGTGTGTGTGTGTATGTGTGTGTGTGTGTGAGAGAGCGTCTGAAACTCCGTGTTGTCTCTGGCAGACCCGCTGTGTGCTGCCGGTGTTCCAGGAACTCTGAACCCTGCCACGTTCTCTTGACTTCACACCAGCCAATGGGGTTTAAGCGGTAAAAAGTGAAGGTGTGTTTTTCTTACCGTACCGGCAAATGTGTTATTATGCATGTGACACCTTCAGACAAAAAGGTTCCAGTGATTTGCTGAGGGCTTACGAATAATTCAGACAACTGTTATTTTAAATTTTAGCATTTGAAAAGCATCACTGAACACACGGCTGTTTGTGTGTGGACGTCTATCTATTCGTTTGTACGGTGGCTGAGAAGTGCAAAACACATTTACAATAAATTAAAAAAACGTTGAAAAATTCAAAAACAAAATAACATTGTAAGATACACATTCACAATTAAAGAAACACATCCATCCATTTTGTGAACTGCTTATTCCCAAATCGTTGACATGAACAAATGAAAAAACAATATAGCATTTTAAGAAACAAATTCATTTTTTAGGAGACAAACATTTTTGAAAAAAATTGTTTCTCAAAGTTTTATGTTTTTTTTATTTGTAAATGTATTTTCTGAACTTTAAATGTGTATCCTAACATTTTGTTTAGCTTTTTTAAATCATAAGGTGTTTTTTAAATTGTAAATGTGCTTTGCACTTCTCAGCCACCGTACGTTTGCACATAGTTCTGATACTCGGAGACAGACATATGCTCGTAATTAAGGACGATTCATTAGTTCTGCTGTCGGATTCTCGCTGGGAAACTCAGCCGCTGACCACATGTGGATCCAGTATTTGAGACCGTACAGACCGAGCACGTCGAATACTCCGAAAAAGCAGCGTACCAAACGAAGAAAAGCAGCAGGAGATGGACGCAGACGCTTCCTCTGAGGCGACGCGTCGCAGGAAAATCACTGCATGCCCATAATTAGGAAGCTTGTCTCAGATTATCCGAAAGGAAGGATGTATTTAACTGCACACGAGTCTGCAGCTTTCCTGTCTTTCTGCGCCACACAGCCACTCAATCTGCGAGGCCCAACCTTGTGTAATCAATCTACGGCTCCACGCTTCTGGGCTGTGGAAGGAAAACAGCTCAGCTGGAGGAAACCCACACAGATGCAAGGAAAACATGAAAAAATCATTTAAAAAACTCATTTTTCCAGCACATCTCTTGGGGGAAACCGTTCACTGATAAGC